AAGAGTGGATTGGAATTATCAAAGAAGTAATATGAGAACACTTCTCAGAACTATGGGACATGAGTTTCCACATCGAAAGGGCTCACCAAGTAGTCAGGGGTGAAAAAAGACCCACATCCAGGTATATTCCTGTGAAGTGTCTGAACACTGCGGGTAAAGAGCAGACCCCCGTGAGGCCACACACTGACTCCCTGGCAGCAAAACTACTCGCTAGAAGGCAGTGGTGCAGTACCTTTGGCTTCTGAGAAGAAATGATTTCCAATGTAGAATTCTCTACTGAACCTGGAAGTAGCAATCAAGTGTGAAGGGAAAATAGACATCTTGAGCCACATGTAAAAAGAAAAGACATGGCCTTCCATATTCTCTCTCTAGCGGGTTGTTGGAGAGGCTTAGTGCTACACTGTCCAGCTGTGTGGCCTTGGATGTCCTTGAGCCTACTTCTCACCTCCAGCACAAGGCTAATTGTGCTTTGCTGCAGGGTTGCTGCGAGGATTAGAGCAGTGGAGTGTGAAGCTCTCAGTGCAGTGCTCAGCTCATAGTTAGTAGGCAGGGTTGGGCTGTGTTGAAAATATTTATTCAACTTTAGCTTTCTCTCTTTCCTTTATTTATAAGTATTGCAGTGGTTGTGTTGTCTCTAAGTTTTAGTCGCACTTAAAAAACTTTGTTCATAATTTAATCAAGTACTGAACTATTACTGTTTGCCAGGCCCCATTGTAAGTCTTGCAGATACAGTGGAGAATAAGACGATTAGGGTAACATGCTCTTGTAAATAAGACATTTAGGGTAACATACTCTGTTTACTTGGGGAAAGGGGGTCTCCAAGTAAACAGATGCACTAGATAACAGTGCTAAGCCCCGTGGCAGAAAGAAACAGGGGGCAGCAATGGACAGTAATGGAGGAGGTGCCTACTTTGGACAGAACGGTCTTTGAAGAAAAGATATTTAAGCTGGGATCTCAACGACGAGAAGGAGCATAGGAGATGCTAAGAAAAAATGGATCAGGCAGAGGGAACAGAAGGCTCTGGTCCTTTGTCCCTTTGAAGTCTCTTGGTGGCCTGTGCACAGGGGCATGCCCCGGGAGTGCTGACCGAAGTGCAGCTTGGTCACCTTTCTTTCTTTTCCTCCCACAGCCTGGTGCAAGCAGAATACTGGCACGACCCCATAAAGGAGGACATATACCGCAACCACAGCATCTTCTTGGCAGATATTAATCAGGAGAGAGTAAGCACCCAACCCAGGCTACCATAGATGTGCATTCATTTTCCTGTTTGGGGCATTATAAACAGATTAGCAGTGACCGTTTATTCAGAATATCCCAGGCAGAATCCAGGAAACAAGAAGTTCTGTTTTTTGGGAGGCGGTGCTTATGCGATTCAGTTTCTTTTAGGGAGGCTGAAATTCATGTGGCTTTTTCTTCCTGTAGGTTCTTCCTCTTTCCTAGTGTTGAATCAGCAGGGTGAGCTCAGTAGGTGCTGGCTGGCTTACATGGAACTTCAGCTGCTGCCTTACTGAGGGAAGCCTTTCTAGTGGATCCTTTTGGGGTCATATTTTCTCAGAAGAGTAATTTACTTAGAAGAGAAACTGCAGAGGGGACTGAGTGTGTCTCAAAGATGAGCATGCTTTGGGAGATTCTGGTAAACTAGATGGCTCAATTTATATTGGGCTTATCTGGAGGTTTAAAACAAACAAACAGAATTTGAAGGGGAGCGGTGGGAATAGAATAGTATAGCAAAACCACTCAGATTTTGTAGTTTCTTATTTTGCCTTGGCTTTCTCTGGCTAGAAGCCTTGAACCTATGTGATGGAGGCCTTTGGAGGGCAGTGACGGATTCATGGTGGCACCAGTATGCCATGGTTGGTGGGAGCATTGTCAGTCAGATAGGATGGTAAGAAAAGGCTGTACCTGGTATATTCTGGGAAGGAAGCTAGAAAAGCAGCCCATACCATGGAGAAGAAACATGGTGGCCCAAGGTCAGGGAGACCAGAGTACTGAAAGGTTTTAATTCCCCAGCTATAACCTGATGGTGGTGTCCCTGAGGTACTTACTGTTCGCCTTTTCTCCAGGGTGTCAATGAGTCCTACAGGAAAAACCTGATGGCCCTGAAGAAGTTTGTGATGGTGAAATTCCTCAACGATTCCATTGTGGACCCTGTGGATTCTGAGGTGAGATGCTGCTTAGGCCACAACATGCCAGGAGACCATCAGAGTAAATGGCATTAAGACACAGCTGCATGACTTCCCTGGTGGTCCAGTGGTTAAGAATCCGCCTTCCAATGCAAGGGACGCGGGTTTGATCCCTGGTCGGGGAACTAAGATCCCACATGCCGCAGGGCAACTAAACCCGCACGCCGCAACTAGAGAGAAGTCTGCACACCGCAAGTACTGAGCCCATGTGCCCTGGAGCCCACATGCCACAACTAGAGAAACCTGCACACCGCAACTAGAGAGAAGCCTGCAATGAAGAGCCCATGTGCCGCAACAAAGACCCAAGTGCCGCTAAACTAAAAAAAGACAAGAAACAAACAAACGAAAAAAGCCCACAGCTGCCTGCTGGGAAAAACTGTCAGTCCCTTTCACCCACCTTTGTGTAGAGCAGGGGTTCTGAGGTCTATGAATGGGACACTGAGGGTTGTAGCCCCCCAACCGCCCCAAATTGTGTGCAAACTTAGTTGACCCTTGAAAAACATGGGGGTTAGGGACGCTGACCCTTCGCACAGGCAAAAATATACATATAACTTATGGTCAGCCCTCAGCATCCACAGTATTGGAAAAAAATCCATGTATAAGTGGACCGGAGCAGTTCAAACCCATGTTGTTCAAGGGTCAACTGTAGTTGCACCCTCTGAGGAAGGGTCTATAATTTTTATCAGATTTTCAGAGATCCGTGATCCAAAAAAGGTTCAGAACTACGAGTCCAAAGTCTATAAATTCCTGAGGTTCACATTCAAGGTCTGCCTTGACCTGTCTTTGACCTGTCTTTCCAACTTAATCTTAACTTCATGACCACTTCATATCCTCTCTCATCAAGCCATACTGTATTACTTGAAATGCCCTGGGCCTGGCATGTGCTTTTTCTTTTGTGTGTCTGTGTTCCTTTGTTCATGCTTTTCAGTCTCTAAAACGCCCTTCTGTGGGCTTCTCCGCCTGACAAGCTTCTATTCAGCTGTCAAGGCCAATCTCAAATGTCACTTCCTCCATCCAGGATGCCACCCCTCTTCCAAGCAGAATTTGCTACCACCCACCTGCTTTTTTTTTTGGTCGCGCCGCACAGCATGCATGATCTTAGTTCTCAGACTAGGGATCGAACCCACGCCCCCTGCAGTGGAAGCGCAGAGTGCTAACCACTGCACCGCCAGGGAATTGCTTTTGCTCCCTCTTTTAAAGAATCATCAGCCTCTGTTCTATCAGCATTCATCACATTGTGTCAGAGCACCAGGGACTAGCAAACTACACCTGTGGGCCAAATCCAGCCTGCCACATGCATTTGTATGGCCCACAAACTAAAAATGGTTTTTATATTTGTAAATGGTAGAAAAAAGTCAAAAGAATATTTGATGATGTGAAAATTACATGCAATTCAAATGTCAATGTCTATAAATAAGGTTTCATTAGAATGCAGCCATATGCATTTCAGAAATATTGCCTGTGGCAGCTTTTGCATTACAATGGCAGCATTTAGTAGCTGCAACCACGTGGCCCTTAAAGCCTAAAATATTTTGTATCTGGTCTTTATGGAAGTTTGCTGACCCCCATGCTGAACAGTTAGTTGTTTCTGTGCATTGGACTAGAGCTTCTTGAAAACAGGGACTGTATACATATTCATCTTTTTTTTTTTTTTTTTTTGTGGTATGTGGGCTTCTCCCGTTGCGGAGCACAGGCTCCGGGCGCGCAGGGTCAGCGGCCGTGGCTCACGGGTCCAGCTGCTCCGCGGCATGTGGGATCTTCCCGGACCGGGGCACGAACCCGTGTCCCCTGCATCGGCAGGCAGACTCTCAACCACTGCGCCACCAGGGAAGCCCCATATTCATCTTTGAATGTTTAGACTTCAGCACAAGGATTTTCACAGAGTAGGTGCTCAATAATTGTAGGAAGCAGCAATTCTGGGGAGTCGGAAAGCTTTTTGGAAGGATTAACTCATACCTCAGGACCCACCCTTAAGAAGAGATGACTCAAGATACGCTGTTTTTCCTCCTTGCTGCAGTGTTAGGGTGTTCGGTTTGTTGGTAGTCTTAGCTACTAGCCAGTCTTCAACCAGTTTGGCAGTATGCGCCATGTGTCTGATCTGACCTCATTTCTTCTCTCTCTCCTGCAGTGGTTTGGATTTTACAGAAGTGGCCAAGCCAAGGAAACCATTCCCTTACAGGAGAGCACCCTGTACACACAGGTAACTGGGGAAGAGAGGCGCAGTCCTTTTCAGCTCCTGCTTCCGCAAGCTGCTAGGTGCTTTGGTGACAGACCTTGTCTTGTACACCCCAGCACAGCAGGTGCTCAAGAGGCGTCTGTCTTGTGTCTGATGTGGACAAGGCTTGTTAGGCTGTTGATTGTTGCACTAGCTTATGAGGCATTGGTTTACCGAAGCCTACATCCTGAAGGTTGAAGGACCTATACGTCATATGTTTTCAGGCATGTACAAGGGACACATCATCTCTGACTCCTTCCTTCTGATAACAAGGTTTAGAACCAGCTTCCTTTGCTGAGGTGTAGTCCACTACAAATCCAAGAAGCCCCCACGCGTGACAGAAACAGAGGGCTGTTACTTTAAAACAATAGATGCGCAAGTCCTGTTTTTAAATCAGGCACTGACACGGGGAGCTCCTCCTGCGGGAGACTGAGGAGCAGAGCAGTGAATTTTGTTCAGCAGTAGGTCCTGTTTCTCAAGCAGAGGTGGCAGCATTTCACCACCTCCAGTTCTGAGGCCTTCCGTACTCTTAAGGCTTTTATCTTGGGACATACTCTCCCCAAAATGCAGAAGTGTTACATCTGAACCACTTGCCTTCTTTCTATTCAAATTCCTCCAAGTAATTTCAGAGGCTAATTGTCATCTCTTGGCTTTTCTCCTGCATCTGGTGCCCCATCTTGGGTGAGGTAAAAGGACGGGGAAGCTAGGATCTGTTAAGAGTTTTGGATATGACAACTAAGAACTTGTCATGAAACTCAAACTGATGGTAGCTACAGCAGAAGCAACATTCTGGCGCCATCATAACTGCTCATCTTCCCACCCATACTTGTTCTTCAGCACGCCAGTTGTGGGTCATGACATGTTCAGCTGCAGGATATGAAAGTGTCTGAGTTTTGTTATCTAAGGGTTGGATCTGTTGTAAGTTATCTAGCTAATGTTCTCCTGTCTTTAGCTCAGCCCCACTTAACTTGACATTTTGAGGCAGTTTTGTCCATGGCTTGCCCACTCATAGGTGGTCCTCCAGAAGCTTTGGGAAACTTTTCAGAAAGCAGAATATAAAACTGTATAGAATAATCTCAATTGCACATACATTTTTAATGCTTAGGAAAAAAACTGGAGGGAAGTATCCTTTTTGGCATTTTCAACAATACACCTAAATTTTAATACTCAAAAGAGAAAAGACTGCATTTTGAGAATATATCTCAAGTTAACTGTCTTTACGATTTCACTATGAAGCTTTTCATTAAGCCTCTTGATTAATTATGGCCTTTCTCTCTGCAGGACCGCCTGGGGCTAAAGGCAATGGACAACGCAGGACAGCTGGTGTTCCTGGCTCTTGAAGGGGACCATCTTCAACTGTCTGAAGCATGGTTTTATGCCCACATCATACCCTTCCTTGAGTGAAACCCTTGTAGTTTGCACCAGAGCTCAGGGAACCCCTCACACTTCCAAACCAGTTCCCTCCACGCCCAAGCCTGAGCTCAGATCCAGCTAGAAACTAATCCTTCTCTTGTCACCGTCTAACATGCCCTGCTTGGAAAGATCCAAGATAGGAATCTTATCCTTTGCCTCATCCTATCAGCATATGGTGTTGAATGCAAGTTTAATTAGCTAATAACCACGGAGATTGTTTTACAACCCTTTGATGTGGTCAGACTGTTTTAGGAATCAGGAGTTTGCCGCAGGTCAGTGGCAGAACTGTGCCCAGGCCCAGAAGAGACTAAACAAACTAAACCAGTGAGATAGAGTCTAAGGCAGATGCCTTTCTCAGGAAAATCTAGCCACATCTCAAACCAAGAGGCCAGTACCCAGACCTAAGGTATTCAATAAATGCTTTCTTAGCTGTGCTGGTGGAGATTTGACCAGTGCTTGGAGAGGTATTGCTTGGCTGATGTGTCCACATAATTTCTTGAGGCTGTTGTCCTCCTCTCTGAGTGTGTTGCTTTCTGTGGTGTCTTAGCTATTAATAGACAAATTCGGGCAGCCCACCATCTTGCCTTGGTAGCACTTTTTTTTTGTCTCCTCAGGTAGTGATGAATTTGTTGCTCTGTCACAAAAGGAGGGAAATAGCACCCAATTGGATTGCTTAAGGGAGGAAGTGTATATATTGCTTAACTTAGATGGGGCGGGGGAGGTTTAAAGAAAAATAGGAGGTAGTTAGTTCTTTCCATTCCATCCTTGATGAACCTGCCCTATCTAAATATGACTAGTGGTGTGGATTCTAGAGTCACTCTATTGCTGGCATTAGCAAAGAATGGGAGGAAAAATGTGAAGAGATCAGGCTAACTTCCATCTCAAAAATTTGAGATTACCGCACACTTCAAACTGATTCTGATGTGTTCTGTGAAAAAGAGTGCTCAAAAAGCTTAGGGAGTATTCCATATCCCTTTTCTCCTCTTGAAGATCAACCCACCTTAGAATATTAAGGACTCTGAAGATTCCTGTTACAGTAAAGAAAACTAACCTTAATCTACCGTTTCATATGCTATTTGAGCATGGACGTCTTAACCCCCAATCCCTTATGCCATGAAAACCTAGCAACACTTTTTGGAAGACTGTTCTGCAGAATGCCAGTTTGCGGAAATGGGTAGCTATACTTGAGGGAAGCACTTTGTTAGTGCTGCAAAGTTTACCCTCTGTGACTTTTCTTTCACCTCTCTCAAGACTTTTCAACTAAGAGGATGAAAGGCAAGAAGTGGGGACACGTGAAAATAATTTTATGAAGTTGTTTAAAATAAAGAGTAGTTTCTTATCCTTGGTGTCATTTTTCTTTTTGAAGTTCTTACATCGCTGTACAGCAAATATCATACATAAATACTAAGCAAGTTTGGTATTAATTTTATTCTATTTTCTGTATAACTTTAAGTACATAAAGGTTCATTTCCGCAGGCCTCAGGAAATGGGTAGAAATCACAGGACAATCTCTCTTCCCACCAAAAAAAGTTGCATATTTTGGTAAAGTGTTTGTCCTAGAGGAAAAACTGAAATTTACATTAGCAATGCTGTGCAAGATTTTTACACAAGACCTAAAACCAGCCTGCAATGGAGATTTTAGTCCTCTGTTCAGATGCCCAGACAGAAGCCAAAAGCTGTTGAGCATGACAGGGCAAAGGAAGCAATGAAGATGGATGATGGGCACCCAGCATGGAAGGAGAAAGAGAAGCCAGATTCCTGGGAATGGTGTGGTTTTCCTTTTTTTTCTCTCTTTTTAAGTCATCTCTGTAGGAAGGTGCTGGGCAGGGGCCCCAGAGAGAGGAAGGGTCCAAGACTCCTTTAGCTGGCCTGGGTGCAGGGCACCACCACAGCAGCTAACACAGGACAACCTACTATCTCAGGTTCGGGCAGATGCAGGATGGAATGCAGAAGAAAAGGAATGCTTACAGGAAATCATTTTGCTTGGAATGCTAGATGGCCAAGCTTCAGCCTTTGGTCCCGTGCAAACCCTTGCCTCACTTGTCAACAGTGAAAATTAGTTTAAGTTAGAAGAACCAACTAGGATCACACCAGCTTCTGCTACCTTCACGTTCATTGTTAGAAAAAGATTAACTTGTGTGAACATTGTGATCTGTTAATTCCTGGGGACTGCTTTATCCTTCCCCAAAGACTATTTGTTGGTCAAATAACCCCAAAGGCTGAAAGCTAAAACACACCTGTCCTGATGTGCAGTTCCTGAAGAATGGACTGGCTGTATGGTTGAGCTGATATGGAAAAGCTGCACCTTCCTGCAGAAGATCAAAGACCTGCTAGCCCCCCCCCAGATCTCAGCCTGAGGTATATTTCAGTGAAGGCAGGTAGCTGTGCTTCTCAAAGCAGAGAAGCAGTTTAAGAGCAGAAAGGTAGAGGAAATCTAAAAAAGAACCATCTTGATACAGATTTATCCCACGGTGTGAGGGAGAGGGCAAAGAACCCAGTGGCACTTCGCTTATCCAGCAATTTCTGTCACTGTGGTGACCAACTTCCGCCCATTCCATACGGTCTTGAACTGCTCAGGGACTGGGAACTCATTCTGCAAATAAAGAAACAACAGGTTTAAACCCAAGCTAGGCAATACCCTGGGGTTAATTAAATCTTAACTTTCTCCCAATGCTTGCTCGCACTAAACTCTGAGAGCAAGTAGGATGTAATGAAAGAGAAACTGAGTCCACCTGAGAAAGCAAGGCTGTGGAACTGGCAGTGCACTAGCAGCGCCACACCTTCTAGACCACCTCCCCCACCGCTGACAGTGAAGCAGCAGCGCAGTGCAGGAACGAGAACAAAGGCTCCAAAGCTAGAACGATGCAGGTTTGAGTCTGTTTCTTACTGTTCACTGATCAGTGACCTTGCAGACTGTTAAACCTACGAGGCGTAGATGGGAATGTGTATGGCTTCATGGCACCAGCTCAACAGGGTGCTGTGATTCAATCCCATTCCTTTTTGACTACGCTGAGCATCTGCTCTGCCTAAGAAAGGCAGAAACCACCCTCCTTTGGGGGGTCTACTTCGTGGGACTGCTTCACGTGTCTGTGCCTGAGGTGTGCACTGCTGGGCTGCACCCACTTGGTGCAGAGTGTCCAGCAGCCGCGTTGGAAGACTTCTCCTCCAACGCAAGTCTTCAGTCCCTTCTGATTTCAGATCATACTACTAAAGAGATCAAGGAACTTACGAAGTCATCGCCTTCTGTAGGAATGAGGACATTCATCTCAGAAGATTTGGCACTGACTATCTCACAATCCAGTGAATTCTTGCTCAGGTAAACGTGGCAGCCATCTGTTTTGTTGATGGAAATGGTTGGCACTTTACCCATTACCTGCAGGGGAAACGAAGAGCACTGAGTCCCAGCAGCCAGGAGAACAAGTTACCTGTGGGAAAAGCTTTCACTGTTTCACGGGATTACATGAAAAACTCACAGGTGTACAAGATACTGGATACTAGGGGCGGGTGACAATGGGTACTGGAAAGAGCTCGTGATAAGGGCCAACTCTTTTCCTGCCACATCCAAAGCAGCTCAGCTTACAGACTCTGTAGAGTCAGATTCCCACCACAGCAACATCTGTGGGTCGCCTGTATCTCTTTCAATTAATTCCTCAGGGACTAAAGGAAGGAGCCAAGTATCAAGTTACCTGAACTTTGACATCCCTACTATTGATTATCTCCACAATGCCCACCACGTCATCGAACACCAGACCGAGTTTCTTACAGTTATCTAGGAGAAGAAAGGGAGCGGGTCAACAGTATAACTTTAAAGGAAAGTACTCGATTTAAGAATTAAGAATTTAAGAATCTCTAGAAATAGGGTAGCTATGGTTCCAGCCCTCTCAAGCTCTAGGACAGAGCCTGCCTAGGTCAACAACAAGAACTCACCTACTGTAATGGAGTTAATTTTGCCCTTGATTTGCAATGTTGAGTTGACACACTTGAATATGTAAGCCACTTGTTTCAGCTCTGTGTCATCTATCACCAGGTTGGAAACATTCTCCTGATTTTCCTGTTAAAGAGATACCCCTTTTAGGAATCTCATCATTAAGCACATGCCACCCCAAAACACAGACTATGCCAAACTTTCATTCTTGCAATCTAAGCCAGAACCCTGTACTCATTTGGCTGTGCTCCGTTTAATCACTTTGTCCCCACTCCTTGTTCCCCCAGTCCTGGCATTTTTAACTCACCACTCTCCACTTCTTGCCCTCCAGTTCAAGTAGAGCTGGCTCCTTCTTTGTGACTGGTTTGGGGGAAGGACTGACTCCTGGTTTAGATGCAGAGAATGGTTTGGGGCCACTTCGTACTGGAGCACTCTGAGCCTTCAAGGCAGGGTTCTTGTGAGTCTTCAAGTCATCAGATACATGTTTCAGGGCTGTAAGAACAACAGCTGCCTTGTTCCTGTCCTTCATACCAGGGCTTTGGGCTGAGGCAATAACCAACTTCTGCTATCAGAAGTTAAACTGATCCTTAAGAAAAAATTCAAAGCCCAAAACCAGAGCCTTTGAGATGTTCTCTCACACACAGCTTTGGAGAAGCACTTTTATAATTTTTCTTCTACCCCAAGATTAAATTATAAAGTTCCAAAAAAAAAAAAAAGTGGAATGTGTGTGTATGGGGGGATGGGTATGTAAAAAGATCTAGAAAGACATACTAAGTATCAGTATATACTCACAAAATACGTACGTAGTTTTTAAAGCAACAGAGGAAGAAAAAGTAGTATGTGATAATAAAGAAAATTTGGTAAAAGGAAAAAAACCCTCACAGCTAACCTATGACCTCCAATCAGTATTAGCATTTGAAACTCCCCTTCCAATAATTTTTCTATTCATAGCTGTTTTTTATTTATATATAAGCATGCACACTGTTAAGAAATTTGGTTTAACCAATTAACACAATAAAAATTTTCTCAAGTTAACCTATGGTTTCTAACAATATCTTTTTTGGGGGCTTCCCTGGTGGCGCAGTGGTTAAGAATCCGCCTGCCAATGCAGGGGACATGGTTTCGAGCCCTGGTCCAGGAAGATCCCACATGCCGCGGAGCAACTAAGCCCATGCGCCACAACTACTGAGTCTGCACTCTAGAGCCCGTGAGCCACAACTACTGAGCCCACATGCCACAACTACTGAAGCCCACGCGTCTAGAGCCCATGCTCCGCAACAAGAGAAGCCACCGCAATGAGAAGCCTGTGCACCGCAACGAAGAGTAGCCCCCACTCGCCCCAACTAGAGAAAGCCTGAGCGCAGCAACGAAGACTCAACACAGCCAAAAATAAGTAAATAAATAAATTTAATAAATAAATAAAAATATCTTTTTTTTTAAGGAAAAACATTCCATAATCACCCTCAACAGGCTGACACATGCCTTGCTTGTGGACACAGCCCAATCTATATAACCAATACTGGCGTTTCAGCTCCACCACTCCTAAACACTGCATGGTTCACTCACTGCAGAAAAAGATTTCATGGCTGCATCGTATTGCGTCAAGAGGAACATACCACAGTTAACCATTTCTCTTACAGTGGGATATACAGGTTGTTACACCATTTTTAGCTACTGTGAACAACAATGTATAAAAGTTGTTCTTTCAGTGTTTTTACAGGTAGATTCCTAGGAGACTGCTGTATAATTTAAACTTCCATCTACTGTGTATAAGGGTGTCTACTTTCTCTACACCAATATCAGGTCATTCTTACGCAAATTTTCCATATGACTAACATACACCCTCTGAGGACGTGAACCACCCCCTCCACGATGACCTCCTGAAGAGACCGCATGGTAACCTGGAAAAAGCTCTGGGGAAAACTGCCGGCACCATGTCTTGGCACAACAGGGTAGGTACTCTGTATATGCCCCTTAATATTAAATCACTTTCCTCTGGGGAGAGAGATTCCCCCAACTATAATGATCCATTTTCAATTTCCATTTGAGCCAGCTCTGCTATCCCTTTAGGCAACCTGAAGGAATGTGACACCCCAAATGAATCTCCCATATACAAACCACGGTTCTGGTTTACAGACTGTCAGGTCTCTAGTTGGTAAGTTCTTGCCAAAACAACTTATTCACCAACTCTTCTTGCCAAAGCATTCACTTACCATGTGTGATGCTCTCCCCCTGATTAATCTGTGCAAACAGTGCTGAGCGTGAAGCAGACTCATCTGAGCCTGAACTGGTGGGGGCTGGTGGGGGAGGTGGGCCTGGTGGCGGGGGAGGAGGACCCGATCCAGCAGAGGGTCCCGACGGCAATCCACTCAGTTCTTTTGCCACAGGCCCCTGGAACAGTAAGTGCAGGTAACACAGTCAGCCTCTCTTCCCCTCTGTACCATCCCCAATAGGGCCCTGCATGTGTCCCAAGATACATGGGGTACCCACTGTGGCCCTTGATGCAATGATTAATGCTCCCTACCCACACCCAACTTGGCTTTATTCCTTCTCACCCTTTCCCAAGGATCCAACTCAACTCCGTTTTTCAACCTTCACATTTTTCCATTGGCCTCTACCTAATTCCAGCTCTGAACCAATAGCTCTAAATACTTACTTAGTGTGTCACTGGTACCTCAGACTCACAAAGTCCAAGACTGATTTCACCATCACACCCATGTCTCTATATTAGTGAGAGATATTATCATCCACGCTTGACCATTCAATCTTCTTTGAGTCTTCCAACCCCCTCAATCTCATTAAATCAGTTTATTACCTTGGTTATATCTCATTCTTTTTTGTAGCAGCCCCTAGCGCCATGAGCACTTCCGTAGTCTAAGCATAAGCCCTTACCCCTAACCTATATACTAAGACTCTTTTAAGGACAAATAGGATCATTATCACTCTCTTGCTCAAATACCTCTGACAGTTACTTATCACCTATTATAAAGTCTAAAAGTCTCAACTACCTTCCTTTCCAGCCTTTCCTCCTAAATATGTGACTCTCTCTCCTTATTGAAGCCAGATGACCAATCTCTACACTTACTCTGCATTTACTTTGTTTAAGCTTTGCTGTTTACTAGTATTCCCATTTCTCCCACTTCTGTCCTATACCTGAAAAGTCTGAGTATACCTCTTCAAAGTACAGTCTCTCCCAGTGAGAATCATTCTTCTCTTCTTCATACTCTGTATTGTGTACCTTTATTATAGCACTTAGCTTGGTGATTTGAAGTGGGGTTTCGTATCTGTATTTTTAAGCTTCTTGAGGGTTGGCACAGTGTAACTCATTCATCTATCTCTCCTTCCAGCCCAATCATTGTCCCTGACCCATGTTTACTGACGCTGAATAGAACTGACTATTCCTTCTCTGACCCTTGCTTTCTTTACTCTTTTTCCCCTTTCCTTCTCTCCTTTTTCTTTCTACCCTCCACTGAGAAGACTAACATTCCTTCTTAAGACCTTGGTAGTGCTAAAGTCTAAGAAACCTGCAGATCCAGTCCTGGTGCGATGAAGGGAGGGGAGGAGCACTCACCGTTTTGCTCCAGGCCAGGCCAGTGGCATGGAACTCCTTAATGTAAGCCTGCAGCTCTGTCCATATACTCAAGTAAGCTTTGACCCAGTCCACATGCTTCTTATCCCTGGGAGAATTAAAGAAGAACTCATCACAGGCAGTCAGGGTACATTACAATAGTGATTCCAGATTCCCTCCTATCTGTGAACTCACATCCTCTTGCCTGTGGCGTTTCTTAGGCTCTGCTCAACGGCGTAACTGAGCTTTCCTTCTTTTTTTGAACCTATTCTCTTACCCTAATTAGACCAAAGTCCATATGGATAGGGACTCCAGATTATATCTTTCTATCTCTTAGAGCAGTATTCCTCAAACATTTTTTAAAAGTAGCAAAACCACTATTTCAAAGTAGACCTTAGGCAGAACCTAATATACAAAACTGATAAAAGCAAACATTCCGTGCATGAAGCCATGGTAGAGAGGTCTCTCGAGCATCACTGTGGATCTCTAGGACTCCAAGAAACTCAACTGCCTTATAGCATAATGCCTTATGTCAAAAGTATGCCCTCCTCCTAAGAAATTAAAAATAAAAACTTCTGTTAGGAGGAAATAATCAGTATTAAATTATAGAAACAGCACTGCACTATAGTTCAAGTCTCCTCTCTCTCTCTAATTTAAAAAAAAAATTAAAAAAAACTTTTTTGGCTGCGTTTGGGTCTTCATTGCTGCGCGTGGGCTATCTCTAGTAGTGGTGAGTGGGAGGCTACTCTTCGTTGCAGTGCGTGGGCTTCTCATTGCGGTGGCTTCTCTTGTTGCAGACCGCCAGCTCTAGGCCCATGGGCTTCAGTAGTTGTGGCACGCGGGCTCAGTAGTTGTGGCTCGTGGGCTCTAGAGCACAGGCTCGGTAGTTGTGGTGCACGGGCTTAGCTGCTCTGCGGCATGTGGGATCTTCCCCAACCAGGGATCAAACCTGTGTCCCCTCCACTGGCAGGTGGATTCTTAACCACTGCGCCACCAGGGAAGTCTTCCTCTCTTCTTATACGTTATTAGCTGGAAGAGATTATGATTATTTATCATAAAGCCTAATTTCCTCAACTGTAAATTGCAGAGTATATGGTGGAGTATAATGAAAACACTGTGATGCTTAATCCCAGGTTACTGGAAGGATCAAGGAGCGGCCTGGTGTTCTGGGACATTTTTCACCCACATGAAGGCTTATTCCTTCACAGATGTTGGATAACTGATGATGGACAGAAGAAAGGAAGGGTTTGGAGAGTTATGCAGCTAAGTAATAGCTGCCTGCAGTCACTCCAGCTCAAAACCAGCAATGGAGAAGTAGACACTGGTGGCCACGTGTGGTTGGACGTACAATGACTCCCCTTGTGCAATACCTGCAGTGGTCAGGCAGCCTTCATCTCACTTTACCTGACCATGTGAATAGTCAGGGTAATTTTCTAGTAAATCTTACTGAATCTTTTGCAACTGGGCCAGTTAGAAGTTTTCAACAAAAGAACAAAATCTTGACCACACAGGCAAATAAAAGGGCATTAGACCATTTTACCTCCTAAACCTGGAAGGGTAAGGATGAGAAGACTCAAAAGTCCTCTACAGGGCTTCCCTGGTGGTGCAGTGGTTGAGAGTCCGTCTGCCGATGCAGGGGACACAGGTTTGTGCCCCGGTCCGGGAAGACCCCACATGCCGCGGAGCGGCTGGGCCCGTGAGCCATGGCCGCTGAGCCTGCGCGTGTGGAGCCTGTGCTCCGCAACGGGAGAGGCCACAACAGTGAGAGGCCCGCGTACCACAAAAAAAAAAAAAAAAAGTCCTCTACAAACCCTGGAGAAAAAGCAGAAGAGGAAACAGAAACACTTCCTGCTTGCAAATACAGTTTCTATGAGCCAATATCTATCAAACTTTCCAAAAAGCAGCCCTGAGATAAGAGAACAAACACAGCAGCCAAAGGCAGTCTTAACTTAACGCAAAGCACTACTCCAGCAAGTAACCAGCTGGATTTGTCCTTTACCCCTTGAAGACAGGCTGGACTTACACATCTTTGTACTCCTTGAGGACTCGGTTTGTATAAAACATGGCAGCATCATTCATTTCCTTCACATAGGGACCAGGCTTGGGAGCCTAGAAAAAGAGAAGCTGTCAGTGACTTGGGGCCTCTCCAGCCATATCTCCTTGCCTCTTTCAATCTGTCCCTTCCCTCCCACGGAAGCTGTGCCGCTCACCATAGCCACCCAGCCCAGGGCCTGGATACTTTCGCTGACACCTGACAGGTGATTGAACAACTTGCTGCCTCGGTTCTTCTCCCGAAAGGTTATCACTTCTTGGATCTGCTCGGAGATGGGTGCCAACAAATCGGAAAGCTTATTCTAGAAAAAGATGCAAGAAAAGACTGAGGTTAGTGTATTTTTATAGAAGCCTTTATGTTGCTCAACTCCGATCCTCAAGGCAAGAATTCTTCACGAACTACAACAAGCATGCAAATAAACTCTGTATTTATCTTGCAAAGACTCACATGGCTACAGTACTGCTCATCATCTCACTCTCCTTAGACAGTTCTAACTACCCAGGCTGGATTTTGTGGTTCTTCATGATCAGGACCCATACTCCAGCTGTACCACAAAATTCTACCATTTCTGCCACTTGCCTATTTTCTGTCCCACTAACAGGAGACACTAGTTCATTTCTGGGCTCCTCTCTTTCCATCTATCCGTGTGCTCCTCTGCGTCATGAGGGACAGCACTCCACCAACCACACCGGCCTCCTACAGCATCTATCGTCAGCATAACCAATTCTGGCACCTTATCACACACCAGCACAATTTATTAATGGACCCATGTAAACATGCTTTTCTTTGTCATTGACTCTTCAAAGACAAGGGCTTTGTCTTAGCCCTCTTTTATAAACCGTATAGTCCTCAACACGTTGCTAGCCATAGAGCAGCTGCTGAGAGGAGATCTGTTGAATCAAATGCAATTAGAGGGCTTGGCACTTGAGCGGACAGCTTAGCAAAACGGATGAATCTTGTGTTTCTGTGTTTTCATCTGAAGCTTGGTTTCCTGAACATCTAATTTCTCAGATCTTAGCATGAGAACAGTCTAAAGCAGGAGTCGGCAAACTTTCTGTAAAGAGCCAGACTGTAAATATTTCTGGCTTTGCAGGCCATACGGTCTCTGTTGCTATTTTTCAACTCTGCCGTTGTAGTGCACAAAGCAGCAACAGACAATACTTAAAAGAATGGACATGGCTGTGTTCCCAAAAAAACTTCATTTAAAATAGGTGTCAGGCCAGATTTGGCCTGCAGACTACAGTCTGCCAATCCTCGATCTAAAGCAAGGGAAAGATAATAATGTCTCAGCTGCCTGACTTGTTGTGGAAAGTGTGGGCTTGGAAAAAAGGTTTAGACAAAATGCTTTAACTATTCGAGACAGATTAAAAATTAGACTCTAACATATTTAACATTATCTTACGCTATTTTTACATTATTTAGGCATGCCAAGAAGGGTTCACAGGTTTTAATACAGCATTAGTAGGAAGACTTATTTTATTAGCCTTCTGCCTAGGAAAGCCAAATGCAAAAAGAAGAAATGAAACAAAACTAAAATGTTTGGCTCTGAGAAAAATCTAAATTTTCTCTAATTTATTTTCATACTTGGTGGCAGCATAAAATCTTGAGGTAGGAATAAAGTTAAAGAGAGATGCCTAACCACTGAAGGGTGAGGGGAGAAGCAGTACTTTAGGAGTTTCAGGATGTCCCCAGCAGCCTTACTAAGCCCACCCATAGTAGAGCAAGAGAACCACTCTCTCGGTCCCAAAGGGCATAAGGGACAATATGATGAATTTGGGCTAAGAATGTCTATTGAGAGAAGCAGCAAAGTCCCAGGGATAACTACAGTCCTAAGTAAAATGACAGAAAAAAAGCCATTAGAGCCCAATAAATATATACTCAATGGCACATTCCCATAGTGGCGCTTAAAATCTGGCTCTCCCTCTGGGACTTGGTGTGAACATACATGAGCCTAGTAGTTCTATCTTAGCATGTTGTGATAGCTTAGCAAAAGCTCTCAACCTGTCCTGTGCATCAAACCAACTAGTAATGAACTTACGCCTGCTGGCTGCTGGCATTGAGAGGCTGTAACCAAGAGCGCTCGCTCCAACTTCAGACCCGTGTGGACCATCTCCGCCTGGAAAGGAGAGGAAAGGAGAAGAATCAGCTATCAATGACACTTTACAACTGGAGAGGTCCTGGTAAGAATAACCTGAAACCTCCACTTCCATGTACTCTGGTAGCAACCCAGGCACTTCATGCTGATTTCTTCAAGTACTCCTGATTCTTGGGACTGATGGCAGACTAATATATCATTGTTCCTGCTGGAACTAATCAGGGATATAATCCAGAGTTGGAAATGAAGATAATTGGGGCTAGCTTTCGATGAAGTCAAGTCAGCAACTGAACATGCAGTGCGATATGAAGTGCACTGAAAATCCCTCTTACCTCTCATCACCTCCCCTACCCTCTCAAATCTGTTCTCAAGAACTAGAGGTAAGAGTTAAAGCAAAAACCTAAATTTATGCCTCAAATTCTCAAGGTATTTACTCCTTTGTGTTAAAGCTATTTTTCAAATATTGGACCATGACCTATCACAGGTAATTAAATCAACTTTGTGACCCCATAACCTGCACTTTATTAAGTGAAGGAGAATAGAACAATGAGTGCAATACAACAACTGGAAATTATTTCCAAAAAAAAAAAGTGCAACACAAGTAGCATAATGTGAAACTTATATCTTAGCTACAAATATGCATTTCTTTCTTTCTTTTTCTTTCTTTTTTTGGCTGTGCTGTGCGGCATGCGGGATCTTAGTTCCCCAACCAGGGATCGAACTCATGCCCCCTGCAGTGGAAGTGCAGTGTCTTAACCACTGGACCACCAGGGAAGTCCCACAAATATGTATTTCTTACTGAAGGTCATGACCAAGAGTTTAAGAAACATGAGGCTATAAGCACTACAAATACAAAAATTCAAATTGAAGTCATATATTTTTTCTGGATTTGTATTTTTAAAATATAAAAGTAAAAAAATATATATAAAAGTGATACGTTTTAAAACCTTTTCAAATGTGACCTACTGTATAAAGTAAAAATGCAAGCCCCACACTCCTATCTAAGTCCCAGTCCCACTCTCTAGAGTTAACACCATTGCCAACAGATGGTATATAAGAGGCTCCAAATAGCTCTTCCAAAGATCAAGCAACCAGTTTTGCTGACGGGTCAGGAAGATCCTAAACATGGTTCTTGCTGACAAAGGATCACTTAGAAGACTAGCAGGAGGATTCTGGGTCTCAGAGAGAGACAGAGTAGGGGCGGGGGTGACAACGTGGGTAGCAGCACATGAAGGGAGGCTGGTGGAGAGGCACCTGTCATTGCCTACTTCACTGTGGGCTTACTGTGGGCTAAATGTGAAAATAACTCACATTAGCATAGCTTTAGCATAAGTACCATGCTTAGTTTTATAAATGCTAAGTCATGATGATGACTCCTTTCAATAAGCCACCCCAGGCTTGGTTATATAACACACTGGGATCAGACTGGTAGCATGTTCTCACTACAAAGATGAACTAAGCCACATTTTATGCACCAAGCAAACTATCTGTATAAAAGAAGCCCATGCGGAATATGTGATAAAAGCAGGGAGCCTGGAAAAACCTGAGGAAATGTTCCAGTGCGTGGACTGAGTTCCTCAGTGCAGGTAGAAGAGAAGGAGCCAGGAGACTCTCAAGGGGCTCTTCACCCAAGAATGAGTAGGATCTGAAGAAAGCCACCAGTCCTTAAAAGAGGGAAAAAGGGGCCAAACCTCCTTACATGCTTCTGCACATCTCCCCCAATCTCTTTACTGATCTTGAGGTACTCTGCCACAGGACCGGCCAAGAGTGAGTCAAATGCTTGCACATATGGAGTCATTCCTG